TCTTTGCTTAATAAGACAAGAGGGCAATGATGGCCCTGAAATCGCTCACCTAAATATAGAAATGTGGTAAGTAAATTTTCAACAAGTTTGTTTTTACCCTAACCTAGTTCTGTAAGAGAGGGGACGACAAGAAATACACACATCAATTCTGTACATTTTTTTTTATTATGAAAAGTCACACATACATTCTATCAAAAATAATCTAACAAATAGATATTTTACTTCTTTTCAAGTATAACATTTAAAACATAATTATAACAAAACCAGCAGAATAACAATACTCTCATAAAATTATGACAAGATTTAAATGTTTTATATTTCCAATATTTTCATATCATATTTTTATACTGATATACATGTCAAATTCCATTAACATGGATTTGCAAAAATTCAAATTTTTAAACCTGACAAAATGTCCAGACATGTTATAAGACAAAATATTAGTCAAAACCAATGCCTGAATCTAAAGTGATTCATTTATTTCCAATTATACATGTACAATAAAATAAGCTAAATCTAATAAACGAAAACGCTTAATATGAAGTGAATATAATTGTTTAGAATGTTTCAAGATAGTAAAATGTCCACAAGCAAGTTTTTATTGATGTTAAAATATAAATTTATAAATTGTATGAACATTTCAAGGTTAAAACAATCATGTATTATATAAAATATATGTACAACTGATATATTCCTGCATGAACTTAACTCCTTATGAAATTGTTTAAGCATAAAATGAATGTGTTATCATTTACATGTAATTACAGGTTTACAAATAAACTAGACTTATATATTCAAATTATCAGTCACAAACAAACATGTCTAATGTGTGTGTGTGTTCTTAAGGAGCTACATGAGAATAAAATATACATAAACATTCATATACCTAGTAAACAATTAATAACATTTTCATGTAAGTTTATGTGTTATTACTTAAATACTAGATCAATGTACTCTACATATACATTTAAAGTTTAAAGGCACATTACACCTCAGAAATGAAAATATTTTTATTTTTGTAAAAATGTGTTTCATAATATTTTAATTGAAATAGATTTAGAACTTGGGATATTCTTATCACCTGACAAAAATGATTTTGAACAGAAAATATGATTCAAATAGCAATATGTAAACAAAATAATTGTTTGACTTTCATACAAAATATTAATTTATCATAATTGCACTAGTTGCAAAATGGAAAAGAAGCAAAAGATGGCGCAAGATATATGACCAATGAGAAATGACACCAACAATTAAGACTTTTGAAAAATAAATTTGATTGCGTTTTAGGCTTAACGGGCCTTTAAATTAATCATGTTCAACTGTTTAAAATATGTATGGTAACATGTCTCACAACATTTCTTTAAAATAGAATAACCTTATTTTTTATGAAAGGATTGCAATGTTATGCAACTATACAATAAACATCTATTATCATTTATTAAATTATATGATTACATATGTACTAGATACATTGACTCAGAACTACATGTAACAAACATACATGTGTAACATATGTATATATATATATAAATATAACATACTTTAATATTGGTATGTTATAACATTGGCAAGCTTAAAGTATAACATACCCTTATTAGAATATACCTAATATTTTACATTTTTCATTAAATATACATTGTAAGCATAGTAGAAACTCATGGGTACTGATTCGGCTAACTACATTCATCACAAATGAAGTGTATCCTTTACGAGTATGGAGCAATTTCATGTCACATATGTTTTAACAATACATGTAAAATAACATCATAATTGTTTTAATACAATTACATCAGTATAAATATATAGCTAACATTTACGTTCAATTTTATTCTACTTTAACTGTCTTCACATTTCTACTGCTACTGATTGAATTGAAATATACATTTTCTAAGTATACACAATTCTAAAAGCTAAGCAATTTGTATATGGTAAATAGTGTAAATTTAAATGTTAACATTTTTGCTAACCTGGAAACCCCTAATATAATTAGAATATTAGTGTACTAAAATGATGCTGTTGTTTTCTTCTATTTAATCTATCCCTGATATTTAAAAATAACCTTCACCTCTATTAATGTATATGTATGTATTATATTTCACTACATTTCTTTTATTATTTATTTATAAACTGATGACAAATTGATTTTTTTTCAATTTCAGTCATGAAAACCTTTTGTGACAATCACATAAATCAAAATCTCATGAACTGTTTCTGATGATTCATATCTATCATAATGCATTTTATAAATCCTCTTAGTTTACTTTGCACTATATAAATTCCTTACAACAATATTTAAATAGCTTGTCTTAAGTATCACTTGTTGAAAATAAAATTAAAACAAATTGATCATGTCTTTTAACACTTTGTTAAAAGCAGCATGTATCCCCTCTCACAGTTAAAAAATCAAAACATTAATTTTGGATGAAAATGAAACAAAAACACTGTTTAATTGCCTGAATTCTTAATCACTTTTTTGTAGAAAAATCAAAAGATGAATGAAAATATACAAATATATCATCATGTTTGAAATGAAATAGTTTATCCTGATCTTTAACATACTGTTTAGCATCATTTCCCTTACTTCCAATAAATGGTGAGTCTTGTCCAAAAAATACAAACCTATCATCATTTAACTCTATCTCGCCATCATCTGTTATACAACATTTCAATACTTTTACATTTACAGTATGAGGAATACTAGGAAGACTATCAACAAACTTTTGCCATGTTGTCAAAGTCATTGTCACATAATGAAGCTCAATGTCATTTAAACTGTTCATCTGTAAAGGTGACTGTATCATATTGTCAGTTAACCTAAATCTATGTAACCGAAGCATCCTGAGAGTGTGTACTGTTACTAGACTCTCTCCTATCATTGTATGATAAAAATGAGATTTAGGGCCATGATCTGCATGTTATTCAAGCTCTTTTAATTTTTTAGATTTTCTAATGATTTCAAATATTTTATTATAATTACATCTTTTCAAATGTTTTTATCTAAATATTTCAAGGTTTGTTGATCACTCTAACAGCATCGCACAAATAAAGGTACTTAACTCGTCTTGATAAATTTACACAATGCTGGTTGAGACATTTACTACATTTTACTTTATGAAGATGTATTTGTTCAAGATTACTGGTTCCCGCAAGAAAAATACAAAATGTAGTAGTATCGTCATGACTCATTATTATATATCTCATTCTTATTGCTACTAGATTTTTCATACATGGTAGGTTTCTGACAACTGTTATACACACTGGATAATAATTTCTATACTGTCCACTAGAATCAACATTTTCACAACCAAAGGACAGAGATAGAGATTTTAATGTTAAAGTATTTCGTTTAATTATCTTCGAAGTGTATTTGTTAATCTCATCAATCATCTGTGTATTACGCTGTACAGCATTATCATTTTGTAATTGATCAGGCGATGTCATTTCATCATTATCATTTTTTTCAAGATTAATGCCGAACAACAACTGCAATTGTAAATTCACTTGGTATGTAATTTCAAGTTTTTCAAGATGTCGAAACTTTCGTAAATATTTTGTAAATTTAACATAGTCTGTCTTGCTGTAACTTACACGAATAGACAGAACAGAGTCAGTAGCAATTTCTTTCTTTTTAATTCTTGAATACACATTATCACAAAACTGATTCAATTCATCAATGATCAAATCTCCTAAATAAAATGCAGGAGTAGATGATTCCTTACATTCTTCAATTAACGCAAACACAAGCTGATGAATATCAGTAAATAATCTATTATAGTTTATACTTTCAGAATCTGTTAAAAAAAATGAAAAGTCGTCATCAGTGTGTGTATTTACAGTTTTTCTGTATTCCTTAACACGAGAGTCTTCTGACACAGTATCATATATGTATTTTGAGACATGTGTTGCTAATTTAGGTTCTAGACCACATAGCATAATTATGACATTTGACTGCTCTAATATATCATTTACAGTTGAACATTTCTGAAAAACGCTTTCAATAAACTGATAGCAACTTTTGGCTAATTCATCATTTCCTGTACTGTTTGATGAACCAATTTTTGTATTGAAATTGATACAAATATTCACTGCAGCCAGAAATTCTTGCATTGATTTGTGAATAAAAGAGAATAATGAGCTTGATGGTTCTGATACAGTTAAATTGGGACGTTCATCTTCTGTCATTATTCCAAGTTTCAAGCAGTTTTCCCTAACTTCATCTGAGATGTCTAGTTCATTTAACAAACAAATGTCAAATGCCAAGGATTTGTTCTTTGGACTTTAAACGTGTCTAAAACCCAAATTTTGTGAAAACTCTAAATAAAATGGCTTTTTTGTTTCCCAAAATGGTTTTTTTGTAAATATTTGGGAGGAAAAAAATTTTTCTTGGTCCCCCTTTTTTTTTTTCGAGTCCGTTTTCTCCCGGGTTTTTATTTTTTTTTCCAAAGGGTAAAAAAAATTTTCCAACATGCCGGGTGTAGATGGCACTTTCTTGAGGTTTTATAAAGTTTATCATGTCCATAGAAAAACCAATTGTTGTATTTTAAAATTGGGTACCTGTTTAAAACTTCCCCAGGCTTTTCTTTAAGTTTGTCTACAGTCTCTAGCGGTTTTTTCGCATGTTTTCTAATATTTAATTTTGACTGGTCCTATTTTTTACTTTCCTTTTCACATTTTAAATCAACCCCTTTTGTTTTTCGTATGTTTTACTCACGGATCGCAAAGTATAAAACATTTCCATGGGCCGTGTGAAGTAGTTTATTGTTTATTCCTTAAAATGTTGTATGTTTGGGCGATTTTTCGGGACCTTCATTTTGCCATCAAGCCAAAAATATAACTCTGAGGTTCCTTTTCAGAAGTTTATTAAAAATTTTCCTTTCATGGCGTTTTTGAAGATTATACAATTGTGTCTGTTATGATTACTGTCTAAGGGAGTAAAATTAAAATTTCAAATTTTCTTTCATCTCCATTTTACCCATAAATTTTGTTCAATATTTGTTTTATTCATAATTCAAGGTTTCCTCCGCGTATAAATCCATGTCTTCAATCTCCTTTGTTTTTGTACCACACAATCCATACTGTTCTCTTCTAATTTGAAATGCAAATTCATCAAACACTTTATTCAATTTTTCATTGGACCCTCCATCTTTTTTGTCACCTCCATTTTCTTCATTGTCGCCCCCATGTTTCTGACTTTTACCTCTACGCTTCTTACGGTCAGCTCCATGTTCTTCAATGTCATCTTCATTTTCTATATTGTTACCCCTATTTTCTCCACAATCATCTACATGCTTCGCACTGTCAACTCCATGCTCTTCATTGTCACACAAATGTTTCTCATTGTTACATCCTTGCTTCTCACGGTCAGATTCGTGTCCTTCATTGGAGCCACCATGTTCTTCATTGGCACCCCCATGTTTAACACTGTCACCAAAATGCTTTTCACTGTCACAATCATGTTCTTCATTGTCAACTGCATGTTTCCAACAGTCACCTCCACGTTTTTCAATGCCACTTCCGTGTTCTTCATTGTCACGTCCATGTTTCTTACTGTCATCTAAATGTTTCTCATTGTCACCTCCATGTTTTTCATTGTCACCTCTATGTTCTTCATTATCTCCTCCATGTTCTTCATTCTCACCTCCATGTTTCTCACTGACACTTCCATGTTCTTCACTGTCACCTCCATGTTCTTCAGTGACATCTCCATGTTCTTCATTGTTACCTCCATGTTCTTCAATGTTACTGTCATGTTGTTTATGGTAATTTTTATGGTCACGACTATGTTTCTCACTGTCTCCTCCATGTTCTTTATTGTCACCTGCATGTTTTTCACTTTCAACTCCATTTTCTTCACTGTCACCTCCATTTTTTTCATTTTGACCTTTATGTTCTTCATTATCACCTCCATGTTCTTTTCTGTCACCGCCATGTTCGTAATTGCAACCTTCATGCTTTTCATTCTCACCTTTATGTTTTTCACTGACACCTACTTGTTCTTCACTGTCAACTCCATGTTCTTCACTTACACTCTCATATTTTTCATTGTCACCTACTTGTTCTTCCCGGTTATTGCCATGTTTATCATTATCACCTTCATGTTCTGTATTGTCACCCCCATGTTCTTCACTGTAACCTCCATGTTTTTTATTGTCACCTCTATGTTCTCCATTAACACCTTCTTGTTCTTCCTTGTCACCGCAATGTTCATCATGTTTACCTCTATGATCTTCATTGTCACGTCCATGCTCTTCATTGTCACCCTTATGTTTTTCGATGTCACCTCTATGTGTTTCAGTGCCACCTCCAGGTTCGGCAATGTCACCTCCATGTTCCTTAGTTACCTCTTCATTTACAACATCAATTACATGTTCTTTTTTTTTGTCATTGCCTACTTTACTGCCACCTCCTTTTTTTTCATGATTGCCACCTCCATTATTTTTTTCTTTGCTTTCTTTATTTTCAGAGTCTCCATCGTGTTCTTCATTTACCTTTTTATTTACAATGGCACCACTATGTTTTTTATTCTCACTTCCATGTTCTTCAGTGTCACCTCCATGTGCTTTATTGCCACCTCCATGTTGTTTACTGTCACCTCCATGTTTCTCACTGTGACCTTCTTGTTCTTCATTTTTATCGCCATGTTCTTTACTGTCAACTGTATTTTCTTCATTGTCAACTCCATTTTCTTCATTGTCACAAAAATGATTCTCACTGTAATCTCCATGTTCTTCTTCACGGTGACCTCCATGTTCTTCATTGTCACCTACTTTTTCTTCCTTGTCACCGCGATGGGTTTT